CCCTGGTTAGCGCTAAGTCCAGCCTTGGAAAGCACACCTTCCGCAGACAAAGATGATCCTTGGCAAACATTTAAACCAGTGGTACTCCATGGCCCACAGACAGCCATGTTCACCATTAACATCAACCAAAAGAGCCAGGAATGCACAGGGAACCCTCTTCCAGTTTTTCAAGCCTTGGCAAACATTTAAACCAGTGGCACTCCATGGCCCACAGACAGCCACGTTCACCATTAACATCAACCAAAAGAGCCATATTTACTTCCATCCTTACCATGAGACCTGCACTTTATGGAGGTTCACAGCTTACCTGCGTCTCCAGTGATGGCTGTTTCAAGATGGGAACCACCTGCGAATACCAAGCAAGGGCCTTGCCCCCTCTCCAATCATGGGGTAGGTGCCACACTGGGGAATGGTGCTCAGGAGAGCCACGGGTGGCACGGCGAAGAGCGATAAGCAGCTCACGAACCTCAGAGTATCATTGATTTAAACATTTACAGAAATTTATTTATTTATTCGATTTATATCCCACCCTCCTTGCGTAGCAGGCTCAGGGCGGCTTATAGTAGGTTAAAATACGTTAAAACACAGATGCATTGAAACAATGCAATAACGTAGTATGCAACAAATGGCAATCATAACGACATATAAATACATATAAAAAAGATAAAATGCTGATGGCGGTAGCATCCCATAGGGTCAAATTACGCTGGCTGTTGTTATTCAAGTTAACAAAGAGGGCCTTAACAGTTCAGATGTTGACTGTTCAGATGTTATCAGTATGTAGTCAGTGGCGGCTCTTAATCGAAGGCCTGGTGGAAGAGCTCTGTTTTACAGGCCCTACGGAACTGTAGGAGGCCCTGATGTCTTCTGGGAGCTCGTTCCACCAGTATGGAGCCACCGAGAAGGCCCTGGCCCTGGTAGAGGCCAATCTGGCATTTTTCGGACCAGGGAGAGTCAGACGGTTTTGAGACCCTGACCTCAGTGCTCTCTGGGGAACGTGGGGAAAGGCAGGCCCCTGACCGTATCTGACCTTTAAATACAGGAATAGAAGATGCATCTTTATGGTTTAAACATTTTTACTTTCTCACTCCTAGGGAATTATCATGAACTCCAATCCCAGACTCTTCCTCTGCTTTAAGAAATTCTGGAGCAATACTAATTGAAGATTAACATGATACTGCATCCAGCAGAAAACATAAGCTAAATTCAGCTTGAGAGACCAGGCTTTTCACATGAAGGCGAGCCACTGGCAGAAAGTGTTTCCTGGAAGAAAGCAGCAGACATGCAAAGCCTGGCTGCCAGCTCTTAAAGTAGGGTTCAGTTGCTGAATCCTTTCCTATCCCGACAGTCTCTGTGGCATAGTGGTTAAGAGTGGCGGACTCTAATCTGTAGAACCTGGTTTGATTCCTCCACATGAAGCCTGCTGGGTGACCTTGGACCAGTCCCAGTTCTGTCAGAACTGTCTCAGCCCCACCTCCCTCACAAGGTGCCCGTTGTGGGGAGAGAGAGGGAAGGAGATTGTAAGATGCTCTGAGACTCCTTTGGGTAGAGAAAAGCGGGGTATAAAAACCATCTCTTCTTATGTTCTCCCCACAGGAAAAACAAAGTTCAAAGCTAGGAACACAGTATGATAAGGAGCAGGTTTGACAAATATCTACATCATTTTAATTTTATGTGAGATATCAGGTGTGCCATTTCAATGTCTCAGTGTTGGATTTTGTGTACACAAATCCCATGCAAAGGCTGTGAGTCCTGTGAACTGGTGAAAAGGGAGACAGAAAGATTTTTAAATATTTGGACATCTGAGAAGCGAAGATAGATGCACCTGGTGAGTAGAGCGATCTTAGGCCCCACTGCAGAGTCTCTACTTGTAGAGAAATCTGTCTGCACTGACCTTGTATCCTCCATCTATTTGCTTTCAGGAGAAGAGGGGTGAAAACAAAGTGCTATCTCTGCCAATTCACAGGGTGAAAACAGCCTCTGTTCTTCACTGACTCAACAGAGTGAAAACAAATGCTGTCCCTCAAGACAAGCCAGTATAAAGCAAAGCTTGTAGTTGAAATAAATGGTGGAGTGTTTATTTGATGATTGCCCCATTGAACCTGCTAGTGACCTTGGTTGCCCAAATCCACCCCACAAAGAGTTAATGTAAACACTGAGAGGGGGGGGGGAATGACAAAGCTTATCTTGCATGGAGGATCCACCCCAACTTGTTCAAAGTCTTATTGCCTCACTGAAGTTAAACTTTTCCCTATACGCTACATGACTCCTTGAATGCTCCTCCAAATTACAGCCTCTTGTTGTGGCCAACGAACAGGGCCATCTGAGTGCAGAAGTCAGTAGGGTTGTCAGCTACAGGGCAGTGGAGAAATACCAGAAGATTTTGAGGGGGACTTTGGGGAGGGGAGAGTACCTCAGCAGGACACGATGCCATAAAGTCCATCCTCCAAAGCAGCCATTGTTTCCAGAACTGATTTCTACTGTCTGGTGATCAGTTGTAATAGAGGGAGATCTCCAGATTCCATCTGGAGGCTGGCATTCCTAGAAGTCAGAATGCTAGGAAATGTTTAGGCTAACACCCCTCAGTGCATGAGATGGGCACACTCCCTGATCAAACATGTGTATGTACAACTTTTCCACTTTTGTATTTTTGTCACATTTTTTTATCCTGCTCCTCCTGCCAAGGAGCTCAGAGATGCATACAGTCTCATCAGGTTATGGGTGAGGCTCAGACCTGTCAGCTTTGGAGAATTATTCCAGGCCCTTTCTATGCATCATCCACATGACATGACACAGAGGTGCATTTGGGGGGGGGGGCAGCTTTTCCACAGCTGTGAAGGTCCTTTCCCCTGTTATCACTACAAGCTCAATTTTATACTCTTTAGAAAGGCAGGTATGAACACAGTGCACCAGAAAAGCAAGTCAAATGTCATAGAACTTTGTTTTAGCTTTCCACACACCTGGCACATTCTTCAGGAACTCGTCCTTCAGTAACTAGCTTGCAGGGCTGGGGGAGACAGAGCCTCTCCAAAGTATGACTTTCATTCCAGCAGCTTCAACTGTAGGTGCCCCCTCACCTGCGGTGTCACCCATCCCTTGCTGCATAAACTGGGGACAGGGAGTTGACAGATCAGTGATACTTTCTGGCATTGCTCCTCACCTCTGCAGAATCCAGACCCTGTAACAGAAACTGTCAGTTCAGCTCTTACTCTGTGGCAGAGTTTTTCACAGCTTAACATGAGAACTAATTTTTATTACAAAAGCTTGAGTATGGAACACATAATGTAAGAAGAGAGAGTTTCTGAGCTTGTGCAGAGTATCTTCCCTTACCATTGAACAACTACAGCCTTCTCCAACAAGTCTGTGTTCAAGCGTGTACAGAATAGAGCCTTTACAACTGGGTAACTAAAGCCACCCTACATAACTGGAACTAGGGGGAAGGTTTTTTCTAATCAAGAAGGTATGCCTTACAAGTAGACCTGGAACTCCAGCTCATAAGAACATAAAAAGAGCCCTGCTGGATCAGTCTATCTAGTCTAGAATCATCTCACACAGCTGCCAACCAGTTCCTTTGGAGGGCCAAACATAGGGCATACAGGCTGAGGTCTTTCCCTGATGTTGCCTCCTGATTCTGGGATTCAGAGGATTAGTACCTCTGAATGTGGAGGTTCCCCTCAGTCATCATGGCAAGTAGTCATTGATAGACTTATCCTCTACTAATCTATTCCCTTTTAAAACTGTTTATTCCTGTGGCCATCACTACATCCGCTGGCACTGAATTCCACATTGTAATCATTCTGTATGTAAAAAGTATTTTCTTTTGTCCATCCTGAACCTACTGCCCATCAGCTTCATCAAATGCTCTCGAGTTCTAGTATTTGGGAAGAGGGAGAAAAATTTCTTTGTCACTATCATTTTGAAAAGTTTTAAGCACTGTGCTCTTTCAGTGGTACCCTGGTAATCTCCACCCCACCCCCATTTTCAAGCTCTTAAAACCACCAGTAAAGGCAAAGATGCCATGGATCCCTTTCACTTACCACAAACCACACGATTTGTTCAAGGCAACTTACTCCAGGTAAGCACATACTAAGCTTCAAGCTCACTTTTAATACACTTTACTGCTTGTTATTAAATACTGTTTTAAACTGCTGTCCATGTTGGATATAACTGTAGAAAGGGAGGAGATAAAATATTCCAGAAGGAAATCGGGGAATAAAACAATAGGCTGGATTTGAATCATAATTTTTTTTAGGGGAAACGGTTGCATTTGAGCGCTGTCCTGGAACGAGCTTGTTCTTCATCGCAGCGCTGATTCCAGGAGCATGTTCAGTAGGATACAGGAGTAAAATCTGCCAGTGAGCATCTTATTTCTGGAAATTAAGCACTACGTCAAATCCTCACTAAATCAGCCCTTCCCATCCCAGCACTTTGAACCTTCTCCACAGAGACGGTGGAGACGCCCCCCCCCCCCCCCCGACCTTTATTTAACAAGACCTCCACGTGCTTGTTTACAACCTTGCGCACGCTTCCCGGTCCGCCTCCCCGCCATTTTTCCATTGGCTGTACGCTTCTGACCTCTTCCTTTCTGATTGGAAGGCGCGATTGTCGCTTTCCCATTGGCTGCGGAGTGCAGCCCTTGTCATTCTTTAGGTTTGGAAGGCAGCAGTCGTTTTCTGATTGGTCGACAAGCGCCACGATGGTCAGCCTTTCTGAGGAGCCTAATTAATGACGTCACACTGCAACGGATGAGGAGAGTTGTTTTCTGTTGGTTTCTGACAGAACCCCGCCCCCTTCGTTTCCCTCGCTCTATTGGCTGAGGGGGGAGGAGGAGGAAAGCAAGCAAGGCCGACGTGAACGTTTTTTCTGCCGCTGTCCTGATTGGGCGCTTTAGGACTCCACCCCGTTCTTCTCCTCGGTTCTGAGGGGGCTTGGCGAGAGAAGGAGGAGAGAGCTTTGTTGAGCCCGCCTTCAGTCACCCCTGCGCATGCGCGCATCATTGGTAAAGGAAAGGTGAGCTTATGTTTAGTGGCCAGGTGGGTCTGGGGTTGCGCAGCTTGGTCCCCTTCGCTTTCCGTAGCTTAAGCCAAGCGCGAAAATCGTTTTGTCCTATGGATCTGGGATCCCTTCGGAAAAGCTACAGGGGAGATGAGGAGGTGAGCGTGCGGGGTTGGGTTCTTCCTACTGCTTTAGTTTGCAAGCGCGTGGGGAGATGGTTCAAGGTCAGGGGGCTCCTGAGGACACGTGGAGCCATCCCTGAGATGCACCTGCTGACCTTTGGAATGGACAGCCAAGGGGGTCTAAATGGCCGAGTTAGATCCTGCAGGTGTGCTGGAGAGTCTGAAATGGCTGGCAATGAAGACTAATGGACTGGGAACCGTAAGCTGGGGTGGGAGCCATGTGGCTGAGCCATGCCGGTGCAGCAAGATAGTGATGCCCGTGATGGATGAGGAGGTAGTGAGTAAGTCTCAACTATGGTGAGTAACTGGAGCTTGGCTGTGCTTGCTCCTGGCTGCCAGTAGCCCTTCAGGAAAGGCTCCTTGACACTTTCCCTGCAAGTTAGATGGCTGGGCTGTCCCTCCTCGTGTGGAGGATGGAGGCTGAAGAGGAGAGAGGGTCTCAAGAAATTATTGGATGGTGTGTGGGTGACCTGCAGTGCCATTGTAAGCAGAGTTGTGTTCTTGTTAGCCCCTTGACTTCTGTGGATTCAAAGGAATGTAGCCTTTCTTGGGGTGGTGGCACCGCTGGGGAGGGATAGAGAGCTGGAAGAGAGGGCAGGACAGTGCAGGGAAATGTGGGGGAGAAAGCAACAATAGTTCTAGATGGGCTAGATTTTGGAGAAGAGAAAGCTGATGCTGGGTCTGTTCCCACTGCATAGCCACTGCCTGAGATGGTGGGTGTCCTTTGCATAACTGGGCCTTCTTTCAGAGTGCTTCTTGCTCCTTTTCTCAGGCTTTTGAGGAAAAGCACCTTTCCTCCCTTGACCCCATTAAGCAGTTCTCTGTATGGTTTGAAGAGGCTATGAGGTGTCCCTCCATTGGGGAAGTCAACGCAATGTGTTTGGCGTCCTGTACAAGGTAGGAATTGCCACCCAATGGCTTCGGTTCCTTCTGGCTTATGAAGTCCTTACAGATTTGGTCCTGCAACTAAAATGTTTGTCTTGCTGTTATTACCTGTCTTCCCAGAGATGGAAGGCCCTCTGCACGGATGGTACTTTTGAAAGGGTTTAGCCAGGAAGGCTTCCGCTTCTTCACCAACCACGAGAGCCGGAAAGGAAGGGAGCTGGTGAGTGCATCCATGCGATAGAAGGCCATTCCTGTAGTTCATAGATTGGCACTTTGATTTGCATGTTAGGGCTGTTGCACAAACGTAGGACACCCTGAGAGATCTGTTTTATTTTGCTTCACTCCAATTGCATGACTTATGGGAAAGGGCAAAGACTAGTTGGAAGATATTGAAGTTCTGTGCCCTGGTGGATGGCCCACAGAGACCCTCTGTGGCTTCTGATATCTCCGCAGATCAGCAACTGGTGATCCCTGAGCTGAAAAAAGCCTGGCAAATAGAAGGGCCCTGGCCTTCCTGTTGCCAGGACAAGTTCCTGCCTATGGTCACATGCTTCAAGCAGAAGGAAGGATCAAGAGAAATTGAGACGGACACTGTAGAGAGAAGGAGAAGCAGAGAGGGTGAGGGCCACCAGAGAATCTAGCTCTTTGCCAATGGATTCAAGTCCAGTACCACCTTCGAGGCCAAGAAAAGTTTCAGGGTAACTTTTATTGGTCTCTAAGGTGTTACTGGACTCAAATCTAACTGTTTTACTATCCACCAAACTGGTTTCCATAGCCATATTTTCTAAAACCTTGGTTTTTTAAAAAGCATCGAGCTGCATCACATTTTACTGTTTGGTTGCAGAGAGATACCATCAAGTGTTTAGTGAATGTTTTTCTTCAAACGGCAGCTAGCCACTTAATTTTTTTACATTGCACTGGTCATAGTACCAGCCCTGCAGAAGTTGGAGTTGCGCAATCTGCTGAAACCATGAATGAACCTGGCAACACTGTCATCAGAGTCAAAGAGGTTGCTTCTTCAGGAGTTAGAACTCCCATTCTGCTGTTGTATTTGTTTGAGAAGAAGGGCCCTCTACGTGCACGATAAAACTTCTGGGGCTAATGAGATCAGAACCCTTCCCAGAAACTAGTTTTTCAGCGAGCTTAATTTTTCGTATTCTTTGTTATTCTTCTCACAGCTTGATACTTTAAATATTTGATAAGTATTATTTGATAAGTATTTTTTTGTGTGTTTTGCCGCTTTCAGGACTCCAACCCATTTGCTTCCATTGTCTTCTACTGGGAGCCCCTCAGTCGCCAGGTAACCTATTTTCTTTGCCTCTACTGAAAAGGCTGGCAAAGAAGTGTTTATTGTAGAAAGGCAGATATGGAATGAGAGGTTTCAGGGAATTTTATCATGAGTCTCCCCCTTTCCAGCTGACATTTCTATGCTCCAGACCCTGGCCATTTCTGGACAAAGCTTGAGGTGATGAACTGGAGCCAAAACCGGCTGGTAGCCAGAGAGCCAGTTTGGTGTAGTGGTTAAGTATGCGGACTCTAATCTGGATGACCTTGGGCAAGCCATAGCTCTGTCGGAGCTCTTCTTGAAAGAGCAGTTTCTGTCAGAGGTCTCACAGCCCCGCCTACTTCACAGGGTGTCTGTTGTGGGGAGGGGAAGGGAAAGGAGATTGTAAGCCCCTCTGAGACTCCGAGTGGAGGGCGGGGCATAAATCCAGTCTCTTCTCTTCTTCCACTTAACCTATCCTGGAAAGAGTCAGAGTCTGATCCTGTCCTGTTTTTATCTTCTCCCAGATCACAGGCATTTGGGATAGGCGTGTGTATCTGAGGGGAGGGCTTAGGTTTTGGTCCTTGAGCTTGCTTCAAGCCTTACTACTTCCAGTGAAACAGAAACATCCCCTGGGGGAAGTGAGGATGCAGGAGTTGCCGACTCTGATTTCCTTTTATCCTTGCAGCAGCCCTGAGAGGTAGGTGAATCCAAACAATAAGGGGAAAAGAATAGTGTCACAGGAGTCCCAAATATACAAATTCCACTAGTAGAAAACACCATCAAAGATTGCCAGAACAGTATATTAAACAATTATAAAGTTGGTGGTGTCACAACAACAACATTAATGCATACTGTAACTATAATAATGCAATATTTCCTCCTTTGAAGATAAAACATAAAGTCCATGTAGTCAGTGTAACTTGATAGGAGGAGTCCACATAGTCATAACATTTTCCAAACAGCCTTTGCAAAGACACCCATTCTAGATACTTGGAAGATGCATTTCCTTTGACTTCTTCAGTTTGCTGGCTGTGTAAGTGGAACCTAGCCACAAAAACACATATGAAAAGCAGAATTGTTTTTAAAACATGCCTGAAAAATACCCTGATTTCAGCAATTTCAACAGACCACAAGGTTTATAGTGTAAGAAGCAAAATCATAGATTCTCAAAGATACAGACGAAGATGCATGCCAATGTAAAGCTCAACAGGGAGAGAAGCAGGTGTATCCAATTTAGATTAGTCCCATTTAAAGGGCTCTATTTTTCTAAAATGAACGAAAAATCAATCTCCCTGTTCAAGCCAAAGGTTCATATGTTTTCAAATCAAAGATAAGGTGTGCCTCCCTCTGTAACAGAAGACGCTGCACATCCTGCCTCTGGAAAGGCTTATTTTGGTGTACAAAAATCACTCCAAACTTCCTGTTGTCCACATTATGCCCAGTACTAGCATAGTGTTCACCCATTGGGATATTTTCTACATGTCTAGTTAGTCTAGATTTATGCTCAAGAACCCGGGTTTTAATAGCTCTTATTGTAGACCCCACATATTTTTTACCAGGTGAGGCTGAGAGAGGGTGGCTGGCCCAAGTTCAGCCAGTGAGCTTCTGTGGCAGAGTCGGGATTTGAACTCTGGTCCTAGCGTAACACTCTTAATCATTGGACAGCACTATCTTTTTAAAGAATTATATTGCCGTTGAGTTTATGTGGGCTTAATCTGGGCAGAGGTTGGGACCATTTGCGCATGAAGATCTTATTGAGATATATGTCTAGGTTTATATCTATATAAACTTTCTATGCACCTTCATCACCGGGCGGTCTCCAGCTTCTTATTTACTACACCCAATAGATCTTGGGTTGGAACCAGCCATCTGGTGTGATGGTCACGAATCTTCCTCACATTCCCCTGCCTCAGGAGTCCCTTCTCAGCTCAGGAAAGTTGGCTCCCCAGGTCATGAGACCCATGTTGTGGAGTGCAGCCAGACAGATTGGTTGGCTGTAGTGAATGAAGGAGGAAGGAATTATCCTCCTCTCGCTCCAGCCCACCATTCCCAAGAATCAACTTTCCTGGGGTCAGAGGGGAAAGTGAGGAAGATCTGTAGTCCTTGTGTGAGTAGATGACTGGATCCAACCTGTTAGTTTAACTGGGGATGAGCAGGGAAGAGAAGGTCTCCTTAGACAAGGGGCCAGTGCCTGGAAAAGAGTAAGGCCTTTTTGGAGGGGACAGTGACTCAAAACGAGTCAACCAAAGTGGTTCTTTACACCCCAGTAAATTCCACTGGGATGAGATGTGTTTAGCGTTGCCTTTTCCAACCAATAGAGAAGATGTTAGGGCCACACCAGCACTAGCAGCAGAAAATAAAAATCAAGATGTAGAAAATAGGTTTTATTATTATTCTTTCATGATCCAGACAAATCAAGAAAGAATAATACGTTTTTTCGGCACTCTGTTTTTTCCTCTTCCGCTGCCTTTTCCAATCAACCGTGAGTTCAATGAACAGGGCAGGACATGTTTCAGCTAAATAATAATAAAACCTGCTAACAGAACCTCTATCTTTCTCTGGGACACCTTGTATGAACGGTTGTTTTGTCCCCCCCCCCCCCCCACAGGTGCGGATTGAGGGCTCCGTGGAGAGGCTCCCTGAGGAGGAGTCTGAGAAATACTTCCACTTGCGACCGAAGAGCAGCCAGATCGGGGCAGTTGTGAGCCGGCAAAGTACGGTGATTGCTGACAGAGAGGTGAGGAGCTGCGGCCCTGGGTTCCTTGGGGAATTCCCTTTAGTCAGCTGAACAAAGGAGAGAACATGTTCCTCATTTTCTTTCCGACTGCATGCTCGGTCATGTTCTGTGAGTTTATGATGTATTCCGGCATTCTTTGGTCGTGTTTTCTTATCGTCTGCATGATGAGTCAAAAGGATGCCTATCATCCAAGGGAGGTGTCCATTCTGTCAATAAAAAGCTGCACGTCCCAGCATTTCCCAAGGAAGAGCCCTATTTGGTAGATCCTACAGCAACTTTAAACTTCCTTCTTGGGAGGATAGACAGAAAGTGTCTGGGCTGAAAAGGCTCTGTGTGTGTGTGTGTATTACTCTCGGACATGCAGTGGTTTTGGCAGCTATAAGCTTGAATTTGATCGTGCACCATGACCTGTAGGTCACTGCGTTGCTGTACCAAGTTCCTTTATGACTTTGTTAGTTTATGCCTGCCCGCCCAAGGCCTTCACAGCTCTTCTCCCTTTGCTAGTATTTGCGGAAGAAAAACGCAGAACTTGAAGAGGTGTATCGTGAGGCCCCGGTGCCCAAGCCAGCATACTGGTGAGTTGATCTTAGAGCATTTCGGAGCTAGGCTTTGCGCATCGTTCTTCGTCCCTGGCTTTTGTGGCAGCTGTCGAAGCCTCATTCCAGATCCTAACCCAGAAACTTGTTTTCTTTTTAAAACAACTGTGAGAAGCCAAATTCTATATCACGTTCTGCGCTGTGACAAAAAAATAATCCAGATCTCTCTCCCCAAGCAACATAGTACTGGAAACTTGCCTTTTTTCTTGTTAAATTATTAAAGGTCTTGAGAGTCCAATAAAAAGTTAGCTAAGAGGGGGAGTGTGAAAAGGCTGGACTGTATATTATGACACTGGTCGGCATTTTGGACTCCTTGGCTGCAAACTCCCTTCTAAGTCTGTCTGATGCCGTATGCACTAGGACCATTATGATACGCGGAATTCAAGAGTTTCCTGCACCTACCTGCATAGAGAAGACAAAAGGGTGTGTCGTCTAGCAATCCCCCCCCCCCAATTATTGAATGGACACATACACTGTGCTCTTTTAGAATTCATAACAACTCACAGAAGAGTTTCTCCAAAGAGATAGGCTGTTGCAGCAAGAACAAACAAATGATTTGTGGTGCCTTGGATTTTTATTCCCTAGCAGAAACTTTTATGGACTAGGTAAAGTGACCTTTGGACCATGCCAACATGTATTGGAATAAAAATCTGCTGTTTAAGGTGCTAAAAGTCATTCCGCCCACCCCTTGTAATAATGATTTCCTGTTGCGTCCACTTTCATACTCCAGGACACCAATATACCTGCCCCCCCCTTGTAACTTGAGGGAGAATCCCTTCTCTGCTCAAACCTACCTAGCCAAACAGCAGTTGCCTTCCTCTGAATATCTCTTCTGGGATTCAGCTTCTAGTGCAGTTGGCTTGAACCCTAGAAATGCCGCCTCCCACTTTCACTGGGCCTCTGCAAAAGCGGGTGTGATTTTAGAGCGGTGCTGCTTCTTGCAGTCAGTTTGTTTTGTAGTGCCATCGACCTCTGCAGTGATTTATGTCAGATTTTTAAGGCAGACGCTTGTCCTAAAGAGTTTGCAGCATACATTTCAACAGCAGGGGGATATGATACAAGCAAGGGTAATGGACCATGAATGTGAGATGGTTTCATTTTGACCGGGGATGCCCCTGCAATGAAGGAGAAATTGAGACTGTAGATCACATTCTTCTACGTTGTCCCTTCTACCAAGATGCTCGCATCCAGACCGTCACTCCTCTGATCAATAAAATACCTGGAAGAACGAGCTTGGGATACGTTCGATTACTCCTAGAAGATGGAAATCCAACAACTACAGCCTCAGTTGCAAAATTTTGTGCAACAGCCTATAAAATCTGTCAGTTGCTTTCGTTATTGGGGTTTCTGTAAATACCACCCATTTATATTATTGTCTATTTTAATTTGTGTTACTTATTTTACTATATTAGTTTTAACCTTTTTGGGGGTAGTATGTTGGTCTTTGACCGTAGAATAAAATTTGGCGGGATGAGGACGTTGTCTTCCACTGAAATGGCCTGGGGAATGTTTCTTAACCACTTCCGAGGTACTCTAAAGTTTATCCTGTCAAGTTTAGGGCAAGGGAGGAAAACGGCGCTCCGTCAGGTTTAAAATGCGCAATCAGCCTAGTCGCATCCTGTGCAGGGGCTAGGCAGAAACCATGTGCTTCCTGTCCTCCTACCCCACAGTAGTGTGCATGATGGCGTAGTGCTGAGAGCATCAGATTGGGAGCTGGGACACCCCGGTTTGAATCCCCACTCTGCTGTAGAAGCTCACTGGGTGCCTTTGGGCCAGTCCCTCTTTCCGCCTAACCTGGCTCTGTAAGCCGCTTTGGGACCCCACAGAGGAGAAAAGCAGAGTTTTCAGTTTCTAAATAAATACGTTTGTTGGGCCTGAAGAACAGTGGAGAGAACTCAGCCTTACTCCTTGTGTCTGGTATCAACCGAGCAGTTTGTTTCCTTCCCAGCTTCCCTGATGTTAGAACCTGCATGTGGGTTACGGGGTGAGGGGATGGCCAAAGTGTCTTCCAAAACCAGTTTCATTCTTCCTTTTAAACAGTGTTCTTTTCTCTCCCAGGGGAGGCTACATCCTGAAGCCAGAAGTCATAGAGTTTTGGCAAGGTCAAACCAGCCGCCTGCACGACCGCATCGTCTTCAGACACCTCCAGAACAGCAGCACACCCTTGGGGCCCATGACCCACAGAGGGGCTGGCAACTGGGTGTACGAGAGACTTTCTCCTTGAAAGACTCATGGCCTGGGGTGGGAGGGGTATTGCCCCATTTTTGCCATACGTGGAATGTTAGTGCCAAAGGCTTTTCTCTCCACCCCCCTACACACCCGAGATGGAGCAGATGGGTAAAGAGTTTTGCGGACAGAGTGTGGGGCTTGGACAGGGAGACCCGACCCAAAACCCTTACGATGACCCTGAGCCTAAATTTCAGCCTAACCTGTCTCAGAGTTTTGAGGATAAAACTGGGCTGGTTCCCATCTACACTCCTCTGAGCTCCAGGCTGGACAGAAGACAAATGAGGGATGGAAATCAGCTACTTCAGTGCATGGGTTCATTGCGTAATTTAAACCCCTCACAAAACTATCACGTATCCCAGCGCCAAGCAACCCTGAGAAATGCAATTCCCTTAAGGGAGTCTGCATTCTCAAAACTCTCAAATTATACTTTCCAAGGCTTTGGCGGTTGGGAAGCTGTGACCATTTCAAATGGGCTTAATCTTACAGTTTGAATGTTATCGTCTAGGTCGAGGGTCCCTGGGCTTGTTGAGCCTGTAGGCATTTTTGGAAACTGGAGAAAAGGTGCCACCACAAAATAGTGGAGCTGATCAGATAATGTTGGAAGTTTCTTTCCACAGTGGTGGCAGCCATTTCCCTGGAAGACCAACAGTCACACTTCCTGAGCTCTTCTAAAGGGCGTCTTGGTCCAGTGAGATGGAGGAAGAGCCAGTCTTGGCACTCTGCCTTGTTGGCAATTGGCAGCATGTTGAGGATCACTGTTCCAGGTGGCTCTGTCTTGGAGCATAGTAGGTAGGCTTCAGTTTGGGGCTCCTTAATTATCAGTAAATCACGTAGTCAAGATCAAGACTGTCTCGCATTCGGCCCCAAGAGACCACAAATTTAGTTTTTAAAAAAGTGAAGCACGTGTTGTCTCTTGGCATAATTCAGTTTCAGAGGTTAATGTGTGCAAAGAATGCAGTTGAGGGGGCAACGATTAGGGATGAGCATGAACTGGCTGACAAACTGAAGACCGTCGCGCATTTTGGCTGTTTCATGGTTCACAAAGCAATGTTCACGAACTGGAAAACTGCCACAAACTCTCACAAATTTTGATGCAGTTCATGGTGGTTCATGAAGAACAGAAAGCAGGGGTTTTGCTTTCTGCTCTGCACGAAAAGACTGCTGTGAGCCATTTAAACCCCTGCATTCTGCTCCCTGGGGAGCAGAAAGCAAGGGTTTAAACTTTAAATGGTTCACCAACTGATACAAACCAGGTCAGTTTGTAAACCAGTCTCCTGGTTTGTGTGGGTTCGTGGTTCAACCACGAACTTAACTGCAAAAATGCGGTTCATGCCCATCCCTAGACGTGACAGTGCTCCAGCACTTAATTCAGCGTTAGATGCTGGACGTGTAAACAAGAATGGGCGGGTGTGAATGACCCACAAACTTAGAAGCTAGAAAATTAGAGGGGAGGGGACTGGTAGCTGGATGTTCTGCTTCCCCTACCTCAGTTTTGCTTCTGATTTTAATTACCACTGCTATCTGTACTTCTCAGTAAAAACCCGAAACTTGCTTTTAAAAAAAAACAAAAAATGGGGAGTTGAGCTTTTCGGAATGCTGAAACCTGGCCTGGATGTTAAATTGCGAGTCTGGGTATTTACAGATGCATTTGTTTTATTTTACAAAATCTATACCCTGCCTTTCTGCCCCCACAAGGGCCACTAAGGCAGCTAAGAAATTAAGACATAGATAATAAAAATCACATTTTAACCCCCCCTCCCCCAATAAAGATCATTGAACAATTAAACCCTGAAATATGAAGATAAGAACAGTTAAAGCGTTGGGCAGGAAGAAGGGATCACTGAGGGAATGCCAAATGAGACAAAAAAAATCTTTTGTTGTCCAGTCGCACAGTCGAGTCCGACTCTTCGTGACCCCATGGACCACATCACGCCAGGCCCTCCTGTCTTCTGTTGTGCTCCAGAGTTCGCTTAATTTCATGTTCATTGCATCGACAACACTGTCCAACCATCTCATCCTTTGCCATCCCCTTCTTCTTTGACCTTCAATCTTTCCCAGCATCAGGGTCTTCTCCAGTGAGTGCTCCCTTCTCATTTGGTGGCCAAAGTATTTGCGCTTCAGCTTCAGTATCTGGCCTTCCAGGGAACAGTCAGGGTTGATTTCTTTTAGGACTGACTGATTTGATCTTGCAATCCAAGGGACTCTCAAGCGTCTTCTCCAGCACCATAATTCGAAAGCATCTATTCTTCGGCGCTCGGCCTTCCTTATGGTCCAACTCTCGCAGCCATACATTACCTGCTGGTAGAAGATGGTAGCAGAAGGAGACAGATGAATCCAGGGGAGAAGAGCCAGTTTGCTGTAGTGGTTAAGTGCACAGACTCTAATCTGGGAGAACTGTATTTGATTCCCCACTCCTCCACTTGCACCTGCTGGATGACCTTGGGCAAGCCGTAGTTCTGATAAGAGCTGTTCTTGAAAAAGAGCAGTTTCTGTCAGAGCTCTCTCAGCCCCACCCACCTCACAGGGTGTCTGTTGTGGGGAGGGGAAGGGAAAGGAGTTTGTAAGCCGCTCTGAGACACCTTCAGGTAGTGAAGGGCGGGGTATAAATCCGATCTCTCCTATACCCTGCCCTTCACTACCTGAAGGAGTGTCAGAACAGCTTACAATCACCTTCCCTTCCTTTCCTAGCAACAGGTCACCCAGCTGACTTCCTGTGGAGGAATGGGGAATCAACCCCGCTTCTCCAGGTTAGAGTCCACCGCCAAACTGGCTTTCTCCAGAGAGCTGCAGAGGTTTGGTGCCGTGACCCAGTGGCTCTGTCCTGGGTTGCCACCCACCTAATCTCAGAAGCCAGGGCTGCCCAAAGCAGAACCCCAGAAGATGACCATGGCAGTCGAGTGGGTGTCGGTCCCAAACTGTATGAAACTTCCAACTCGGTCGGTTTCAGGGCTACATGAAGTTAATCAAACTCGTAAAGGTTTTAAACCTCAGAGCTCCCTGCTTCGTTCTGCCATGTATCTCCCCAAGTGACAGCTGTTACATATGCTTCAGTGGAGTAATTTGTTTAAAAATTTATAAAAATTCCACACCAGACCATGAAGTGTGATAATAAATCAGTAAATGATCCTAGTGGATCAAGATGTGTGCGTTCTCTCTCTCTCTGTGCGTGTGTGTGTGATACAGTGTTAATGTTCTTTGTAAAAGAAGCTCAGATTCTAGAGATTGTCCTTAGCAATTCCTGTTGCTGCTGTGGTCAGGCCGGTTTGCCATCCGTGTGTTGCTATGCGTCAAGTTTCAGTCCACCTTGTGTACAAATCTTTGGAAATAAATGTCTGACCTGGTGACTGACATGTGAAGGTGAGTGTGGTTTAATATTAACTTTCGTCCTGCTTGTTTTTCAGAAGTGTGATCCTCCCTCCCACCCCTGTTTTTTTTTTCAAACCTGCCAGCATGGCAGAACCTCCTCTTTCTGCCCCACCCCCCCCCCCCCCCCACGCTCTCCTTTTGCATCTTTTAACAACTGACAAATTCAACAGGTGCAGCTAGTGTTAGGAGCATCCAGTTTTCTGTGTCCCCCCCCCCCTTTTTGATATGGCAGAAATGAAATTTTGGGTAGCTCTGTGCTACAGAGTTCTCGGAGTCTTATACCAGTTTAACTTGCCATGGCTTGCCGCAGAGAATCCTGGGGAATTACAGTTTGCAGAAAGAGCGAGCAAGGATTTCCCCTTCCCCAGGCAGAATTGCAATTGCCACCTCCCATTAAGCACAGAAATACTGCAGGAAGGGGGGAGCTCAGTTGCTAGCAAGTATGCATTAAGGCAGGGTTGTCGAACTAATTTGTTACGAGGGCCGGATCTGACATAAATGAGACCTTGTTGGGCCAGGCCATGTGTGTCATAAAATGTAATTGCGAACTGAGAGGGTCAAGCTAACATATATTTTAAAAATATACAAATATTAGAGAGTGTACACAAAACTAAAACATACGGTTAAAAGAAATAGTCAATATCAGACTCAAAGCTTATATCGTCAAAGCTGACAGTTATACATATCCAATTGATAGGTAAAACTTATGACCTAAGGACCATTTCCTCAGTGGTCAATATTCTTTATTTTGCAATGCCACACATCCAGAAATACATGCTTAAAGAATTTTGTATATATATATGAACAGATGTTGCTTTCTGAAATAGTTTAAAAAAAGAAAAAAGGTCAGATTATCATATATCAAATGTATATAGTAAATATATATAGTAATATTTTTTTAATATAATAAGAAATTTTTACTGGGGTTACCTTATATGCTTTGCATTTGCTACAAGTTTGTATAGTGGGCCATAGGTAGTAGCTGTGCAAATTCTCCAAATTATTCTACATAAATATAGAAATGCAATTAATAAAATTTATAAGTAGTCAGATTTTAGAATAATTTTAGCCTAGAAAATATTTAAATTAGCCAGCAAACCTTTTTTCCTTCGGTTTTTGTCATAAAATGTAGTGCCAGGTAGTGGTGATATAAACTTTATGAAGGAAACAAACACAAAGATTTTTTTTACTTAAAATAAAAACATGCTTAAAACATTCGCTCTGTAAGCTGCAAACCTACTTTTGATTTATTGACATTCACCACAGAAATCTCGTGCTCAGAGTTCTGAGTCTAGGACCCAGGTTAAAACATGAAATGGCTGAGTGATGATTCAGAAAGTCTGGCAAAGCAAGCTAGGATGCAGCAGCAGCAGAACTGGAAGCAGGAGATGGCCAGTTCCACTGTGGGCCTGATGGAAGCTCTCTGGGGGCCTGATCTGGCCCCCAGGCTGCATGTTTGACACCCCTGCATTAAGGCATTATGGTCCAGAGTCTTATCTGTCAGTATGAGCTTCCTCTCCCTCACGGAATAGTGCTAGAGAAGGTGTGAGCTTGAGGTGTGCAAGGGAATGCTACTGAAATCCAGAGGAGTTAGCCCTGTTAGTCTGTTGCTGCAAAACAGTAAAGCCCAGTAGCACCTTTAGGACTAACAAACTTTATTGTAGCATAAGCTTTCGACAAACACAGCTCGCTTCATCAGATGCATGGAGGGTATGAAGAAACTGGCCAGAGGTATATAGATGGTAAGGGGAGGGGGGAGAGGATGCAGAAACTGCCATGTAAATGCAAAGCCGTTGCAAAAGTCATGAAAAAGGTTGAATGTGCTCACACTGTTAACAGGGAAGACACTGTTAGCGCTGGCGTGTCTGCTCTTTCTGCCCCAACCCAGCAGGGAGAAACGATCCTATGAAAGGTGGAATTCCTATTTGATTTCCGCTTGGATTATAACTTCTGCAGTCGAACAAAGTTTGGGTCCAGGGGCATCTTTAAGATCAACAAAGTTTAATTCTGGGTATAAGCTCTCGTGTGCATGCACAGGTCCATCAGATAACAGTTGTGAGGGTGCACTGCACCTGCCTTCCACCAGGTGGTACTGTCACAGCACCTTCCCTGCTAGAGCTTAGGTGTCGGCTCTCCTCTCCTTTTCTTGGGTTGCATCCCAGTGAAACTGCAGCCCTGATAACCTCCTGACCTTTCTCAGCTCCCAGCGGCATATTTGCCTTCTCAGTCACTGCTTGTTAAACCAGGGTCAGAATCTCCTGGGGCAATTCACTTGTGCTGATGGGATTCCCCAAAGGCTGGGGGAGAGCCCCTGACAAGCTTCTCCAAAACACCCTGTTCTGGTATGTTTTCAATGCTCTGTGCTCTTTGTTCTAACTTGTGGCTTTGTGGTGTCGCTGTCCTGGACTGGAAGCCAGTGCCACATGCAGAGCAGTAACCGAGCAGCGGTTGTCTCTGACCCATGCGCAGAGCAACCACTGTTGCTACCTGTAGCTTGATTTGGAGAGGTGGGTTCCTAGTTGGGAGGTGTGGCTTCCCAGTAGTCCTGTGCCCCCAGTATCTCCCGTTTCAGCAATAGTGCCTTGTGGGTGGAGACTATCAGATGTGATCCAGCGTGGTGTAGTGGTTACAGTGTCAGACCCAGGTTTGAATCTGCTCTGCCATGAAGGGAGTAGTTTCAGGATAGACAAAAGGAAATCCGAATTTACACACAGTGATTAAAGTGTAGGATTCGCTGCCAGAGGACATAGTGATGGCCACAGGAATAAACAGCTTTAAAGGGGGATTAGATTCATGGAGGATAGGTCTGTCCGTGGCTACTAGCCATGGTGACTGAGAGGAACCTCGACATTCAAAGGCACTAATCCTCTGAATCCCAGAGCCAAGAGGCAACATCAGGGGAAGACCTCTGCCTCTGTGCCCTGTTGTTGGCTCTCCAGAGGAACTGGCTGGTCTGATCCAGCAAGGCTCTTCTTATGTTCTTAGGAAAGCCTCAGCCTCTATGCCCTGTTGCTGGCCATCCGGAGGAACTGGTTGGCCACTGTGTGAGACAGGATGCTGGACTAGATGGACCACTGGTCTGATCCAGCAGGGCTCTCCTTATGTTCTTGCTGGGTGACATTGGGCCAGTCACATACCTTCAGCCTAAACTACTTCACAGGATTGTTGTAAGGATAACATGGCAAAGAGAATCTTGTAAACTGCTTTGGGTCCCCATTAAGCAGAAAGGGGGAGTATAAAGGAAGTTATAAAAAGTCTGTGCACATGCTTACTTCAGAGTAGTTTTCACTGCACTAAGTGAGACTTTCCCCTGAATAAATATGCATAGGAACGGGCTGTAATGAGAAGCTTTCAGATTTCAGCTGGGAACCCTTGGGGTTTTTTCAGCAATTGATAAAGTAGCATGTTCCTACTGGACAGCCCCTCATGCTTAGAAGAATGACTCTGCTAATGCGATACTGGGATTATAGATGAAACCCTGCCTGTCATCACAAAGTCAGTTTTAAAAAGACTGACAAATTC